CCGCTCAGAGGTAACTTCAGGGGGGAGATTTTTAGCTTTCTATTTGTTTGGTAGATAAACATATTTAAAACAAAATGGGAAAAAAAATTTAGGCACGTTCCTTTTTCTTTTCTCCAGCTATCATTCAGTCTGTCTGTGGACAGATCCCGGGTGGCCTGCTTGCTGGGACTGTTATGAGCACAAAGCGGTCATTCCAGTGAACTTGGCCTGTTGTTTGGGCCTGGTGCCCACCTTCTGTGTAGTGGGAACTGGCCTGGAAGGTGGTTGGCTGACTCCACGCATTCTGTAGTCTTCAGCAAAGACTAGAGTTTCCACACTGAGTTAGGCAACTCAGGCAAGGGATAGGAATTCGCAACCAGGATATGATGCGGAGAATCTTGGCAATTCTCTGCAGCCTGCCCACAAAACCTCCTTCACTTCTCTATAAGGAGCCTGGCATTGCTGGTGGTTTCCTTGTTTCTTTGTTTCTTTTTGGAGATTTTTTTTTTAAGTTGAAAAGCTATATAAGAAAAAACAAAATCACAGTACACTACTTGCTCAATAGCGCACAGTCATTTACATGGTCATAAAACTTGAGACATTGATTTTAAAAAAAAAAAAAAACACATTTTCTTTTCATCATACTTGGTCCTGGATTGTAAGAGTATTTCATACAAGTATGTATTGAACTTTGGCTATATTGCCCCATACTTTCCTGCCCCCCACTTAATCTCCTTTGTCCCCCTAAACAGCTTCTCTTTCCCTTTCTTTTTAAATTACTATTACTTATGTGTCTACTGGTGCCCTGGAAGGGCATGAGAGGGTTTGGGATTCCTTGGAGCCAGAGTTGCAGGCATTCCTAAGCAGCCCAATGAGGTGCTAGAACACGGTCCTCGGGATAGAACAGAAAGCCCTTTAACTGCCCGGCCGTAGCTGCAGCTCTTAGAGCTAGCTCATTCTGCCATCAGAGAGGAGAAAGAGCGACCAGTTTGCCTTTCTCTAGACAGAAAGCAAATTGGTGGGTTTGGGGCGGAGGCTTTTTTTTTTTTATTATTTAGAGTGGTCTGCAGTCTCTTGCAGGTCCCACCTAGTGTTGTGAGGTTGAAAAGAGGTGACAAGAAAGCTTTTAGCCCTGGCCCCCAAGCAAGGAGCTTTGCTGTTGTTTTCTTCTCCGGAGGCCCAGCAGCTAAGGCTGTGATACCACAGAACCTTGTTGTCCCAGCAGCATTCACAGGAGAATCGTGCCAAGATCTCACACAGCACTAATACTCAGTGACACCAGAACTGTAACAACCTAATCTGTCCCCTAGCTTTTCTGCTTTGCGAGTCCTTTTGTTGTTATTGTTTTGACTGGGGCTGTCTGTTCCGTTCTGTTCTGTTCTGTTGTGTTTTGTGTTGGAGACAGAATGTTACGCAGCCTAGGCTGGCCTTAAACTTGCTGTGTGCCTGGGGGCCACCCTTGAACTCCTAATCCCCGCAGGAAGATTGCAAGCTTTCAGGACCAAGCCCAGCTTTTGGCTTTGCTGATGTTTTACACTGCCCAGAAAGCTACAGTAAGTGTGGACGTTTCAGATGCTCCTCTAGGTTCTAATTCTTATTATTGCATGGCACCTAAGGATGGGAAAAAACAAAACAAAACCAAGTCAAGATGGAAATCCTGCTGAGGTCTGACAGATTTCAGAACTTGCATATGCAGCCAGACTAGCAGAGACTGGCCACCCGTCCAGACATCTTCTAAATGCCCAAGGTCATCCGAGAAGTGACTGTCACTCAGCAGTTCTCTGGGATAACGTGAAGGAGGTCCTCCTCCTCGGCCTACTGCGGAGGGGTCCACGTGGAGCAGGGGTGAGACGCCCATGCCCTCTCACCTGGAGTTGGAACTGCCCTCGGCCAGCTTTCCGTTACACAACACCTTCCATTTTGCTTTAGAGTCTGAGTTCAGTGCAGAAGGTGACACACCTTCAGTGTTTGATGCAGAAATAGGACGAGGGAGGAAGGAGCACAGGAAGGATTACACCGGCCTCTTTCCCCGCAGTGTTCATGTTTATCATAGCGTTTCTCTTGATCTCAAGTAGAAAAACAATTTTACTAACATCCGCGGTTTAAGGTCTGAAGTGTGCGAACCTTTCTCCATTGTGGGGGTGTCTCCGGCCCATTGGTAATAACTCTCCTGAGAGACCAACCTAATTATTCTGATATCTCCACCTAAATCAAAAGTAGGACACTAAATTCATAGGAATGTTAATGGCTACGTTTAATTGATTTCAATGTTTCATAAGAGAAACCTTTTAGTTCTACATTGAGTGTTTTTTTATTAAAAGAGAGAAAAGATAAATTTGATCTGTTTTAATGAAAGAATATCACCAGTAGGTAGTTAGAAAAGAGTTGTCCAAATTATCCGCATGACTCAGGTGTCAGAATTACATCACGTCATTCAATTTTTCTACCAGAAGAAAGCAATTTTGGACCAGGTCCCTGCTGATCATGGATGTTCTGAGCCTTGTAGGAAAGGGTTGTGTTTAAAGAAGGGAAATAACCTATCCGTGGTGTATTTACATAAGCCCTACAGGACTGTCTGTGGTGTATTTGCATAGCCCTACAGGACTGTCTGTGGTGTATTTGCATAGCCCTATAGGACTGTCCGTGGGGTGTATTTACGTAGCCCTATAGGACTGTCCGTGGTGTATTTACGTAGCCCTATAGGACTGTCTGTCTGTGGTGTATTTACATAGCCCTACAGGACTGTCCGGGATGTGTTTACATAGCCCTACAGGACTGTCCGTGGTGTATTTACATAGCCCTACAGGACTGTCCGTGGTGTATTTACGTAGCCCTATAGGACTGTCTGTCTGTGGTGTATTTACCTAGCCCCTTAGGACTGTCCGTGGTGTGTTTACATAGCACTACAGGATTGTCTGTGGTGTATTTCCATAGCCACGTAGGGTCTGGAGAGATGGCTCATGCTAAGAACACTACCTGCTCTTGTAGAGGACCTCGGTTAGGTTCCCAGCGCTCACATGATGGCTCACCACCTGTGACTCCAGCTCCAGGGCATCCAATGGCCTCTTCTGGCCTCTGAAGGCAGGACCCTTCATGTGTATGGTGCACATAAACCCAACGAGGCACAGACATAAGTAAGCAAATACAGAATAGCATGTACCATTGTACTATGTTCTAGGTAACTTATTCCATGTGGAGTCAGGTAGAGCGAGGAAACCCTGTATTTTGTTGCTATTATTTTATGTGTCAGTAGTCAATAATAAAAAGAATATTTGATTTCATTGTGGCTACTGCTTCCTTTACGACTTCTATTCTCTTTCAAATTTTTATCTTTTCCTGCCGGAGGATTATCTGTGATCTCAGACATGCTATATAAGCACTCTACCACTAAGTTCTATCCTTAGCCTGGTACTCCATCATCTTAAAATAAAAGTTTTAGGAGATTAAAGCACTCATTGTGGTGCCAGGGTTCTGTGTTTACACCAGTGAGCCATCTGGAAGCCACGTTCACGTATTTAATATCCCTGCATTGCATGGTGTTCAGTATTTCCACCCATGATCCAGGTCGTTAACCCAAGGGAAAAGACAGCAGAGTAATTACTGTCTTTATTTTCATTTCTGCAAAATCTACTCACCCAGATGATGGGGGGGGCGCTAATGAAGGGGTTCGTGGGGTTTGCTAAACACGGAGGTGATAACAAAGAACCTAGACGCTGACTCCAGATTTGGACGTTAGGCTGTGTGGTCTAACCAGAAAGCACCAGGAAGTCAAATGTGAGTGTCAGACTGTTCCGGGGGCCCAAGACCACTATTTCAGTGGCAATGTGGACATCTGTATCTCCATTTAAAACAGAAGCCCTCTGACACATAGGGAGTATGGAAGGCTACCGTTAAACATTCACAGCTGAGATGATTTTCTAGCGTAGAGCACTTAGGGTTAGCTTAAGTTTAAGTTTAGAAGGACTCTCGGTGGCGAAGAATTAAATATTAGGGCAGTTTTCGACACGTGACTCTCTCCTTTGTTATCCGAATGTAAGATTTAAAAAAAAAATGGTGAGTCCAGACTGTACTGGTGCTCAGTAACATACTCTAGGGTAATATAAAATCAGATTGCATGTTTGCAACATATAAGATCTACAGAGTAGGGGCTGGAGCAATGGCTCAGTGGTTAAGAGCACCAGCTACTCTTCCAGAGGACCTGGGTTCAATTCTTCAGTTCCTAGCACCCACATGGCAGCTCACAACTCTCTGTAACTTAAGTGCCAGATCCCACACCTTCACACCAATGCATATAAAATAAAGTGAAATAATTAAAAAAGAAGAAGAACTACACTGTAGTGGATGTGACAATAAGATTGTAACTCAGTACCATCTGAGCCACCCTTCAGGTGAAGATGAGAAGCTGGGATGTTCATTCTGAACATATGTACTATGGGAAAGCTTCGGAAGTGGGAACCAGTGCTATAGATAGCCCCACTGATGAGAAACCCAAGTCCCAGAGAAAAGGCAAGCCAGTCTGTCCTCAAATGAGTCCGGGCCTTCCTGTGTGGAATGGCTAGTTCATGAAGTATACAAAACCTCAACTTCTGCATGCTGAGTCCTTCCAAGACACAGAAGCAAGGGCTGGAGCGATGGCTCAGCAGTTAAGAGCATGTGCTATTCTTTTTTTTTTTTAATTTATTATGTATATCCTGTTCTGGGTACCAGATCTCATTATAGATGGGTGTGAGCCATCATGTGGTTGCTGGGGATTGAACTCAGGACCTCCGGAACAGCAGTCAGTTCTCTTAACCTCTGAGCCATCTCTCCAGCCCCACATGTGCTATTCTTGCAAATGACTGAATTCAGCTTCCAGCCCCTGTGCTGAGCAGCTCACAACCATCTGCAAGTCCAGATGCACAAGGACCTAGGCCCTCTTCTGGCCTCCACACAAAGGAGGGGCACCTTTGGCAGCTCTGAGCTGACAGTGGTTGCGTCGTGTGGCTGGTGCTAAGGTGTGGCCTGTGCTTCTCTCTCCCCAGGGCACCTGGACGATGATGGGTTACCCCACGGATTCTGCACCGTCACCTACTCCTCCACAGACAGATTTGAAGGCAACTTCGTGCACGGAGAAAAGAACGGACGTGGGAAGTTCTTCTTCTTTGACGGCAGGTAGCCCTCGCCTATCTGTTTTGTTTGGGGTTGGGGGGAGGTCTCCCAATTATTTCAAAAGAAGGAATGATGCAAATGCATGAATTCAATTAAAAGTTTGTGAACACCTCATGCAAAAGATGAGTGAGAGTAACCCCAACATGTAGGCAAGGCTTTGGTGGCCAGAAACGACAGTGGTAGCTATACGGAAGTCAGCCTAAGGTGTGCTGAGCCTGGCATGTGTCTGTCCAGTGATGTTCTGCCAAGTCAGATTCAGGGGGTCAGATTCAGGGAGACTCATTTGCACAAATACAGTTCAAAAACTGTATCATAGCTCAATGACATCACACAAGCGGGAAAGCAAGAACTGACACCCCAGGTTGTCCTCTGATCTCCACATGGAGCATGGCCCACACTCACACACACCCGTGTGCACAGGCACACACATCACATCATATATGCACGTACAATACCCTCTGGATACCTGATCGCAGGGTCTCTTTCAAGGTGTTGGCGTCAGTGGCTCCTCTTTCAGAAGCTTCTGTCATGACAATTTAACCAAAGCTCTCTTACTGGAAAATGTCAATTGTTCCTTTACTCTGAGATTATTTTTTTATTCATTCAACGATGTACGTTTTTATAAATGCCTTTCTTCCCCTCCCCACATAAGGAGAGTTTCCTTGAGTGCAGAATCTCTGTGACATCTCCTATGCTTTATGACACTTTCCCTTAACTTGATACTTTAAAACAACGATAGTAAAGTCCTTGCCATGTGGATGTGGGGACTGAAAACAAGTTAGAACAGATGGCCACACACACATACACACACACACATACACACACATACACACACATACATACACATACACACACACATACACACATATACACACACACATACACACATACACATTACACACATACACACATACACACACATACACACACACACACATGCACACACTATGCACACATCCATATTCTCACTTTAAATTTGGTAGTTAGATAAGGAGAGCCAACAATTGACTAACTCGTAGAGAAAACAGTCAAGCTAATTTGCTGTATTTAGTTGTATGTAGTAGCTTTACGAACTTGGTGTGCAAGAGCGTTAAAGAGCTACTTTGAGCTCATTTGGGCTAAACCGAGCATTTGAACCAGTGTGCCAAAAATGCGCAGAAACTTAGTAGGAAGGTAGGGACCAAGATTCCTCTCAGAAGGCACGCGGTCTGGAGCATGACAGCGGATGCGTATGGTCCTAAGGATAATGTGGAAGTGCTTTTCTGGTACTGAGAAGGCTTTGTTATCTGCACCTCTGACTGTAATCTCTAATCTCGATGTGCAGTACAGTTTAACTGTTCTCTGTTCCACCAAAATGTGTAAAACTAGAGCCAGAACTTGTCACTAGCCTAGAACTGGGAGAAGAAAAAAAAAAAAAAAAAAAAAAAAAACCATTGCCATCTACTTTCAGGCTATGGGATGGGAATATTAGGGAGTTGTGTGGTCTAAAACCCAAGATAAAAGTGAGGTAGTTTATTATATGTATGGTTATCCTTCAGTATTGGGGGACCAAGGGCCTCATGATGCTGAGTGTTCTACCACCGAACTTTGTTGCCTACTCTTTCAATGCTGTTTCAAGTTGCCTGGCTGTCCTCACACCTGCTGTCCTCCTGCCTCTCCTGTAGAGTGCTGAGGTCACCAGCGTGTGCAATAGAACCCAGAGTGTAAATATTTACTGTCAGTGCTTTTCCTGGATATGCCAACTGGTTTTCAAAGTATTTGCTATGCTTTTATTTTTCTATACCCAAGTCATTTTTCTTTTGTGTGTGTGCATATGTATGATATGTGTGTATCTGTATGTTTTATCTGTGTGTGTATATGTGTAAGTATATATGATATGTGTGTATATATGTGTATGTATGTGTGTGTGTATGTGTGTGCACACTTGTGGAGGATAAAAAAGGTTCATTGTTCCTCGTTGCCATGAATCTTGAATTATCCTTTTTTATTGCATTAATTGATTTATTGGGAGGGGCTAGACATGTCACCGTGTGTGGAGGTCAGAGGACAGCTTGCAAGAGTTGGTTCTCTCTTTCTACCATGTGGGTGCCAGAGATGAAGCTCGGTTATCAGGCTTGGTGGCAAGCCTTTACCTGCTGAGCCATCCAGAAGGCCACATCTTGGTGTGCTTTGTGTTTCTTTGTTTTGAGACAGGGTCTCTCCCTGACTTGAAACTCACCAAGTAGGCTAGATAGAGATTACAAAACCCACGCCGTCATACTTGGCTTTGTTTTTTAAGTGGGTTCTAAGGGACAAAGGCACAGCCTCAAGTTTGCAAAGCAGGCAACTTGTCACCTGAGCCCCAGCCTCCCAGAGCCAGTTTCTGACATTGGCTTCCTGTACTGATGTGTCCTGATGAGAGGGACCCTACGGGCCGATGAGCACAGCTGACATTTCCCAGGTTCCTGCAAGGTGCTTGATCGCACCTCAGAGAAGCTGGGGTGGAAGTGAACTTTTGAAATCATGTATTCCAGCCGCTCATGTGAGGCAAAATCCTCTCTGTGTTCCTGACCATCTTCAGGCTTTGTTGGAACCACGGTCAGCAAGCAAATACATTTGGATTTACAATTCCATGTTTATGAAGAATTAAGTAAGGCTTGGGGAGGCTGAGTAACTTTCCCAGAGTCCCCTAGCTAGTAAGAGTAGAATTGAGGTGAATTCATTTCCTTCTTTTTTTTTTGGGGGGGGGGGGTTCGAGACAGGGTTTTTCTGTAGCTTTGGAGCCTGTCCTGGAACTACCTCCTATAGACCAGATTGGCCTTGAACTCACAGAGATCTGCCTGCCTCTGCTGGGATTACAGGCGTGTACCAACACTACCCAGCCATTTCTATATTTTCTTTCTTTCTCTCTCTCTTTCTTTCTTTTCTTCCCCCTGAGGCAGGGTCTCATGTAGCCCAGGCTGGCCTCACACTCACTATGTAGCTGAGCATGATCTTGAACTCCTGATCTTCCTCTATCTCCCAAGTTCTGAGATTACAGATGTGGGACACTGATTAAATTCATTTTTATAGGCAACTGGTTTCTCACCAGAAGTGAGAAAATAGTAATGGGTCTGCTTCCTTTTTTCTGTGCTTTTTTTGTTTTGTTTCTTGCTTTTCGAGAATGGGTTTCTCTGTGTAGCCCTGGCTGTCCTGGAACTCACTCTGTAGACCAGGCTGGCCTCAAACTCACATTTCTTTGTTTTCTTTAAGGTCACTTCTTAGCTATTTTTGGTTTGTTTGTTTGTTTGTTTGTTTTCCAAGACAGGGTTTCTCTGTGTAAAGCCCTGCTGTCCTGGAACTAGCTCTTGTAGACCAGACTGGCTTTGAACTCACAGGGATCCACCTGCCTCTGTCTCCCGAGCGCTGGGATTAAAGAAAGGTGTGTGCCACCTCCATCTGGCCAGCTTCTTTTCTAAAGGTGCGTTAGCTCTTGCTAGGAGCCCGGCAGGTTGATGGAAGGTGTTCCTGAAGGGTCATTTGGTAGCGGCCTCCCCAAACTCCTGTTTTCTCATTTGTAGGATAAATGATTGAGTGAGAAAAACTACAAAGACCCTGGAAGGCATAGCACACCTGCCAAGTGCCCGGGAGGCATAGCACACCTGCCAAGTGCCCGGGGAGGGGATGGATGGAGATGGTTACAGTGGCCTAGAAGACTGCTTGCTAGGGAAAACATCAAAGTGTCAAATATCTTAACATTGCTACAGTCACACAACCGTCAACTACTCCTAAAGGGTGTGGTTCTCCCATTCCCCTGTCCCAACCCCATCAGCAAGCAAGTACTCAGCACCAGGTACCAACCAGTGTTCACACATTTCAGTTCAGTTCTGATGATGTCTACCTGAGGTGTGTTCACCTCTCATAGTTCTGGGGGGTTGAGAGCTTTGAGATCAAAAGCTGTTAGATTGGAGTCTGGCGGGGACCTGCTTCCTGGCTTACAGATGGCTGCTTATCTTGTCACGGGCTGGAGAAGGAAGCCAGGGAAAGCAACCCCCCTTGTGTCTTTTATACGGGCAGTAAATGCACTCAGGAGGGCTCTGACTTCATGACCTAATACCTCCCTCAACACCTCACCTCTTAGGACCACCCCATTGGGAAATAAGGTGTCAATGTACAGATTTTCCAGGGACCTAAACGTTCAGTCTATAGCAGTACATTTTTTAGGGTTTCCTCTTAAAGAAGAGAACAACATTGTGCTAATTGCTGTTATTTTGGGTCTTTGTGATCATCAGATTCTCTAGACTCACACATCCTCTGTGAAAGGATTAAAAACAAAGACAGGGACGACTTTGAAGGTGCCCGGCACACAGGCAGACGAACTGCAGGAAGAGCTTCGCTCTGCTTGCCCATCCCGCCCTGAAGGCTGGAGGTGTTAGCTGGAAGTAGCTTTAGCAGATGGGTTAGGGCTCCTTCGCCTTTCTCCGCTTGCAGTATTGGCTAATAATACAGCCACACGGAAGAGTTCCTAGAACCATGATTTCGAACTAAGCCACAATTTGATTTGTTAGAGATGAGTCTTGAATGTAGAATCTGATTCACTTTCAAGTTTCTTTCTCGACTCATACTGATGAGGACATACAAGCAGGTGTGTCTAACCTTTTATATTGGTCACAATGTTCCAGTATAAAAAGTTGGACACACCTGCTAGTATTTTTTTGTAGTTTCTTTTTTTTTTTAATTGAGCTATACATTTTTCTCTGCTCCCCTCCCTTCCTTCCCTCTCCTCTTCTACCCTCTCCCATGACCCCCACGCTCCCAATTTACTCAGGAGATCTTGTCTTTTTCTCCTTCCTACGTAGATCCAAGTATGTCTCCCTTAGGGTCCTCTTTGTTGTCTAGTTTCTCTTGGCTTGGGATACAGTGTTATTATCTACAAAATTCAGACTTGAAAAACACAAGATAATAGAGTTACTAAAAGAAAAAAATCGCCAAAAAAAATCTTAAGTTTTAACCAAGCTTGAGATTTAGTGTTGGCCACACTTATAGCTACCCCAGACCATATGCGCCCCCACAAGCTACAGGTTGGGCACACCTGTTAGAGAAAAGGAACAACATTTAGGTCCAGAGATGGAAAGGGCAGAAACTCCTCAGTCTCCAAACTATGAAGAAAAGCTAAACTTCCCAAATACTTTTGTGTATCCAGACACTATAGAGGCGACTTCCAAATGAAAATACGGTAATGTTTAAATAAAATGCAGGTGTGTCAGTTGGGGTGCTCAACTGCTTGATTTCTCCTCTATTTTAAGTTCTAGTTCCTAGTTTAATTGTTTTTGGAAACTTAGCACCTCGTAAAATAAAAAGGCTTGGCCTGGCGGTGGTGGCGCACGCCTTTAATCCTAGCACTCGGGAAGCAGCGGCAGGCGGATCTCCGTGAGTTTGAGGCCAGCGTGGTCTACAAGAGCTAGTTCCAGGACACCAAAGCTACATAGAGAAACTCTGTCTCAAAAAACCAAAAAATAAAAATAAAATGTTGAAAAAATTAAAAGGCCTGTATATATTAGGAGTAAGGAATGTCGTTTCTCCTAAGTTTCCCAGCTGTTTGCTTCAGATACCATTGCCAGAAAAAACAAACAATTCAGTGCCCATTGTGGTCGTTTCCCAGCATCATCCTGAGGAGTCTGCCAGCAGGTTAAAAGGAAACATGGATTAAGAACATTAAAACTGGGCCTAGAGAAATGGCCTCCTGGTTAAACACTTGCTGCTTTTTCAGAACACCCACGTTCGATGGCTCACAACCACCTGTAACCCCAGGTCCAAGAGACCTGACACCCTCTTCTGGCACACAGAAAAAGAGAGAAAGAAAGTTGAAACAGCAGGCGCCATTAGTGGGGGCCTCTGCCTACAATTCCCGCACGTGGGAGGTAGAGGCAGGAGGAGTTCACAGTCATCCTTAGCCACATGTTGAGTTCAAGGCCAGCCTGAGTACAGGAGGCCTTGTCTCGAAACGAACGGCAGTGAAATACGGAGCCGAGCATAGTGCTCTAAGCTTGAAACCCAACACCAAGGAAGAAGAGCAGTGGGGTCCTGAGCTTGAAGCTAGTCTGGACTACACAGTGAGACCCTGTGACCAAGAGAGGGGGGAGGACAAGGACAAGAAAGACAACGGGGAGGGAGAATGGAAATGTGTGATGTTTACATAAAAAAGTCAAGCAAATACTTTGGGATAAGAATAGTGAAACGCTATACTTTCTGTAGCTTAGTGATACTTAAGTTCGTTTGGTTTGTTACAATGAACACATTGGTTTTTATTTTTAATATAAAAGGTATCTATCCCTTCCTTCTTCCATTCAATGAGTCACTTATAAATTACTGCAGAAAGAGAAAGAGCTTTCTTACATCCCTGAAAAGGTAGCTTTCCGGGGTCTGGAACTTAGGCTAGCTGTAGCGCCCCTTGCTATCCCGCCTTCAGAAACTGCGCTCACTGTGCACAGTAAGCCAGCTGTGCAGAGGAAAACGACTGTCTCCCTTGAGAGGGAAGTGAGTATACGCTCCCAGGCCAAGAGGCAAGGACAAACCATTGGACACTGTTGGGACTGAGATCAAAACAAGATGACTCAGTGGAGCTGGGTGTAGAGGCCCCTCCCTTAGTCCCAGCACTCAGGCAGGCGGAGCTCTGTGAGCTGGAGACCAGGCTAGTCTATATAGTGAGTTTCAGGACAGTCAGGGCTATACAAAGAAGCCCTGTATGGGGAAAAACCAAAACCAAACAGAAAGATGACTCAGGGGTAGAAGCATCTGCCTGATGATCTGAGCTCAGCAGTGGAAAGAAAAGCTGATCCCCAAAGGTTGGTCCCTCCCACCTCCGTGTACAAGCCCTGGCATGCATGAGCTTACACTCACAAAAACATTTGCAAGTCTGTGCTGTTGTTTTTAACTTGTCTGAGACACCAGCGACTTTTATATTTGATCATGAATCTGAGCGGTATTGGCAGGTATGTCTGTTGGAACAACACCCAAATATACACAGGAACGTTCTGAACACTACTGACAATCTAAAGTCAAACAGGTTGGCAGGACTAGCAAATGAAAACACTTATAACACTGGATTAAATTAAAACCTCAGACAACAACGACAAAGCATGTTTTTATATTTATATCTTATATTCAATATTTGAGATACGCACCTGCTGAAGTTTATAACCTGTCTAAAATCCAGGCTTCCCTGAACACCTTGTGTCTTTTTCCATGGTTGGAAGTTCAAAGCAGGGTTTTTCTGTATAGCCTTGGCTGTCCTGAAACTCACTTCATAGACCACGCTGGTCTCAAACTCACAGAGATCTGCCTGCCTCTACCTCTTTGCCGCTCTGCTTCTCTCTCAGCCTCTCTCTCTGCTTCTGCCTCCACCTCTGCCTCGACCTCCCAAGTTCTGGGATTAAAGGCACGCACCACCACCTTCTGGCCCCATCTTGTACCTGACCTGACAACCCCTCCCAGAAAGGAAGAGATAGATGGCTGAACCGCTGCACACAGCAGCCTGTCCGTTGATTAGCGTTCCTTCTCCAAGCCGACTCTTTGTTAATTGTGTGAATCTAATGACAGTCGAATCTCATTGATTCAGCTTCACTAATTTAGAGTTTTGATTATTTATGCAAAAGCTATGTGAAAGTATACTTTACTCCATTCATGAATTTAATAAGCCTATTTGTCATTGATAACGCAAACAAACGGGAAGGAGAACTATTTATCTCCTTGGGAGGCCACAGATAGTGTAATTACAACGAAACGAGACGCCGTCACAGTTCAGGCTGTGCGTTTCGTTTTAATAATTACAAATCGTTCTCAATCATAAGACGAGACGTCAGTAGACAGAGTCAGGGACAGGTTGCCCAAACCCTGTGCCTCGCTCTGCATTCTCCCTGCCCCGGAACATGGTGTGTGCTTATCTTACCTAGCTCAGAACATGGTGTGTGCTTGGCCTACTTATCCCAGTACACAGTGTATGCTTGTTCCAGTAGAAGGGATGTGTTTATCCTCCCTACCCCGTAGTACTGTGTGCTGTCCTGCACGGCCTCTTGAGCAGTGTGTGCTTGCTCGGCAGTGTTCTTGTGCTGGATTATTCTGTGCACCATGCAGGCTAGAACCCCATACGATGCTCACAACATACCTTAAAATGCTTACTAGCGAACTCTAGGACTAAAAGCCGGGTGTTAAACCGTCTTTGTTTCTGAATAGCTAGTATTTATCTTTTTGATCTTTAAATTACATTTGTTTATTATGTGTACATATGTTATGGGTAGGGAGGTGGAGGCCTGCGTGTGGACATCGGCGTACAGCATGCCTCTATTGGTCCTCTCCTTCCAGGGAATCGAACTCAGATCCTCAGGTTTAGCAGCAAGTGCCTTTACCCTCTGACTCTGCAGTGTTAATGCTCACATTTAAAATTTTAAAAATGCTTTGAGCTGCCCTTCCGTTTATTCCAAATGGTATTTTTGGTAAACTTCCTTCCATTGCATAAGGATATTGGACAGAAAATGTATTTCTGAACTTCCAAATGTGTTTTCTAAGGACAGCAGTAGAAGGGTGGTAAAATCACTTTGAGTGTGCTGTGAGCTTTCTTCTGGTCCAGCCGCGGGGCTCGGGCTTTGTCACGCTGATAACAGGGTGAGCAGGGTTGAGCCCGCAATCTCCCTCCTTTACCCCACCCATCCTTTATGTCCATGATCGCGCACATGAACACACGTGTACAGTTGAGTGTCACACGCACGACTCCATGAACGGCATATACCACAAAAGCCCTGCAAGATGAGCGTGTAACCTAGATATGGACCCAGCTACAGCATCTAGAGTTGTGTGTGTACTTGTGCTGTTCATACAGTGACAGAATCTTCTAATAACACATTTTCCAGAGCCTGTCCCTGTCACTGAGGGATACATGACCGTATAACACAAAAATAAGGCCTCGTCAGTCTTCCAGAGGGATCAAAGGAGAGTCTGTTGATTGGATGCCAGTTACCATTGCTACTGTAGAATGGAATATTAGTGACTTGAAAGTAAGATGGCCATTTGCACAGGCTACCCCACACTTGCGTGATTGGAGAGCTCCATATGCAAGCCATCTAAGAACTGTGCGAGAGACAAATTTCCCACTGTTATGTAGAGTGTAACCGTGGGAATGCTGGTGCCCCAGGGTAAGCTGGGCATCTGCCTGGCTGTGGAGACACGGGCAGCTGAGACTTGTTCTCAGTCCAACATGGGCCTTTTTTCCTCTCTCTCTCCTTTGGCAAAGAAAAAAGGAGAGAGAGAGAGAGAGAGAGAGAGAGAGAGAGAGAGAGAGAGGAGAGAGAGAGCTGTAGTGCTGTGTAATCTGACTGTTTCTGTTCTCCCTTGCCTCCCAGTACCCTGGAGGGATATTACGTGGATGACGCCCTGCAGGGCCAGGGTGTGTACACCTATGAGGATGGAGGTGTTCTCCAAGGCACATATGTGGATGGAGAGCTGAACGGACCAGCCCAGGAGTATGACACCGACGGGAGGCTCATCTTCAAGGGACAATACAAAGACAACATTCGACATGGAGTGTGCTGGATCCATTACCCGGTAAGCTGGCGCGCCTGTACACTCTGAGAGAAAGAAGCTCGTTTTAAGACAATGTTTTGACTCCTCGTGATAAACAGTACAGTGTATCCGCTGTGAAGTCACGGATCAGCCGCTATTGACAAGAGTGTCTGAGGCCTACCTGCCTGCTGCTGTTGCTCGCTATGACTTAGATGATTAGGCCTAAGGTTGCTATTAATTATTCTTCTGAGTCATACTGAGTAGTCCTGAGTGTTTATTCAGCACTGGAACAAACTAGCTTTATTGTACCATCTCTAAAGTAAAAAAAAAAAAAAAAAAAAAAATAAGTTGTTTTTAATTCCTTTGGCATGTAGAAAGAAGTGGGATGGCTGGGCATGGTGACACGCCTTTAGTCCCAGAACATAGTGAGATCCAGGACAGCCAGGAGTATGCAGAGAGACCTTGTGCCAAAAAGGGGGGGGGGGGGGGAGAAAAATAACTTTATATAGGGGGAGAGACAGGCTTTCACTGTGTAATCTGCCTGGCCTCAAATGCACTCTGTAGTCCAGGTTGTCCTCAAACTCATAGAGATCCTCCTGCCTCTGCCTCCAAGCACTGATATTAAAGGCATGCGCCATCTCGCCCAGTTGTTGCTTAGTTTTAAACGTGAGACTGAATCCTTTTTGGAGTCTCTACACCACTGCAGCTTGGTTTTTACAGCCCTCTCGCTATGACGATGCGTCATGGACCGCACTGCTCACATTAAGATGATGTAACTGAACTTGCCTCTAAGTGTCTGGTGACTGTGCTGGTTCTGAGTGAACTGCAGCAAACAGAAATGGCAGAGCCCATGATTTGGAATCAATAACTTTTGTTTGCGTTTCAAATATCCCATCTGTTGTTGATGAGTTTGAAGACCATGTTTTGAAAAACAGACCGTAAGATATAGTTTGTTTACCATTTTATCACGCCCAGAAGCTTAACTGAAAATACCTTTCTGCTTACTCTGAGTTATTAGTAAGAGCAGGCTAGACGGAGTCGTGCTTGCCTGGAATCCCAGCATTCAGGAATGGCAGACAGAGTTTGAGGTCTGCCTGGGCTACATAGTAAAACTTTGTCCCACAAAAAGCATGTTTTTACATGTAAATCAAGAGAAGTGGTCCTCAGTGAATGCACTTACACGTTGTTACATGTGTTGTTTGTGTGTGCTTGACGTGTGGGGATGCATGTGTCACGCATATGTGTGGCAGCCACGTGAGGGCAATTTCTAGAATCCATTCTCTTTTCCCACCTTCACAGGGCTTGAGCTCAGGCTTGTGCAGCACCTTTACCCCACCCCATCCCCCTTCCTGAGCCATCTCACTAGCTAACATTACTATTCTTTTTTTAAAAACAGCATACATAGTGTTTATACTTTTACTTTATTGTTTTAAGATTCATTTACTTATTTTACCTATTTGAGTGCTCTATCTGCATGTATGTCTTAATGCCAGAAGAGGGCATCAGATCCCTAGATGGTTGTGAGCCACCATGTGGGTGCTGGGAATCGAACTCAGGTCCTCTGGAAGAGCAGCCAATGCTTTTAACTGCTGAGTCGTCTCTCCAGCCCCCACATTATTATCCTTTGGGGGGGGGGGATAGAGTTTTTTAGTGGGTTATGGAAGGGAAGGAGGAGAGGGAGAGGGAAGGGGAAGAGAGAGAGAAGGGGAGAGAGAGAGAGGCAGCAGCCCCCTCTTCAGAGGAGAGACAGGAAGAGCCATATTATTATTCTTTTTTTAATGTTTATTTATTTATTATGTATACAATATTCTGTCTGTGTGTATGTCTGCAGGCCAGAAGAGGGCACCAGACCTCATTACAGATGGTTGTGAGCCACCATGTGGTTGCTGGGAATTGAACTCAGGACCTTTGGAAGAGCAGGCAATGCTCTTAACCACTGAGCCATCTCTCCAGCCCCATTTTATTATTCTTTAGAAACTGTTTAAGTGGCTGAAAAGATGGCTCATCAGATAAGAGCACTTGCTGTAAGTATGAGGACCTGAGTTCAAATCCTCAGAAACCAAGTAAAAAGCCTGGCTTGGTCATGTATGCCCTCCCAACGCTCTCACTGAGGATCTCTGGGGCTGGCACACCTCCGAGTTCAGTGAGACCCCGCCTCAAGGGAATAAGGCAGACAGAGCAGTATATCCAACATCGTCTAAGTACAATTGTTGTTGTTGTTGTTTTATTTTTTGAGACAGGGTTTTTCTACATAGTTCTGTCTGTCCTGGAGCTCAATGTGCAGACCAGCCTGGCCCCTGCCTTCCTAGTGCTATGACTAAAAGCACACACAATGGTGCCCAGCCAGTCAATCGTGTTTTTAATCCGTTGAACTTGACATTGTTTATGCACCTGTGGTCCCAGCTGCTAGGGGAGCCTGAGACAGAAGGGTTTAAGCCTTGAAGTTTGAGGCTGGGGAAATGGCTCAGCAGTTAGGAGCTGCTACTATTTTACCATGAGGACTGGAGTTTGGATCTCAGCATCCACAGTGGGGGCTCTAGAGATCCAACACCCCCCCCCCACACACACACACACACCATACACACATACATAAAGAATTTTAAAAAGAAACTGTGTTCTAAGGGAAGAATATGGTTGATCTCTAAGACTTGCACAAACATTTAGGTCTCCGCCTGATCGGCTCTGATCCACAGACATCGTTAGGGGACTGTCTAGGTAGAAGCAGACAAGCAGATGAACAGGTGCCAAGGTACCTACAGTTCTAACACTGAGAGTGGGCTTCCTGCGTGGCCAGGCGGAGCTCCACGAAGCTGGGGAGCTACTGACATTTGAGAGAGACTTGTCAGGAGAACGAGTGGAGCCCCGTGTAGGCAGAGGATGGGAGAGAGACGAAACAGGAATTCCCAGCGACTCCCACTCCCTGTCATTTCACTTCTGACTAGGATCAACTGAAGTCCTCTGATGAGATCGAAGGTACACTGAGACCATTTCCTGCCTTCATCTCACTGGGTGGAGCCAAATTTTGAAACCCAAATGTACAATAACGGTTTTTAGAGGATCTTTTGTGTTCTTGACAATTTCATAAACATGTATCCATGATATGCACCTCCAACTCAGCTTCCCAATCCCCCCAGACGCCCCCAACATGTCAGTGCCCACCTTTATGTTCTTTTCTCATTTTTTTTAATAGTCCCCTGAGTACAAGTAGTACTGCTGCAGGCACACGGGTGGGGGCCAGTCACTAGAGCGTGGACCACCCATCAGCCGCTATAGCAACATTTTATCCTGTGGTCTTATTAAATACCAAGAGAAGATTCTGGGAAACATTGGGAAATGGCTAGCTTCCAGAATAGTCGATGGCACCTGCTTCAAGTGTGGTATCTGATGACAGTGGAAGAGGAAGATGGCACCCCTCTGCTCTCTGGAGTCCGAATCAATACAGAAACAGGCATTAGTGTCAGGGACTGAATTGCCGGTTTTCATTGCATTAACTTTGAATTGGAGGCATGGTGTGAACCCAAAGCCAAAGCCACAACAGGCTTCTCGGTCCCTTCTGCTGTGAAAGCATTGGGGGCTTCTCTTGAGGGACATGGGCCTTCCTGGGATTGACAGGGCAGTGCCTAGGACCCAGGGGAGGGTAAGTGAAAAGGGAGACTGGACACTCCAAGCAGCCTTTATCTTGTTAATAATCCCTACCCAACAAAGACTACTCCTTCTGGCAGGGGTGCCAGTGGGCAGACCGAGGCAGCGGCCTCCACCCGATACTCTTAGAGTAGTTGGGCAGTATTTGTAACAGGCGAGAACAAGAGAAGGGAAAACAGAACCATTCTCCCTAGCATACTTATAGGATCTCTCTAGGAACTAGAGATACAAAAATTTTGTTGTGGATGTTTTGGTTTTTGAGCCCAGGCTATAGCCCAGGCTTCTGTAGCCCAGGCTGGCCTCAGATTCTCTGTGTACCTGAGGATGACCCTGAACCTCTGATCCCCCTGCCTCTGCCTCCTAAGTGCTAGGGTTACAGGTGCTACCACCACGTCCAGATTGTGCAGTGCCGAGATCCAAACCCAGGGCGCGGTGCGTGCTAGCTGAGCTCCCTACCGAGAGACGTCACCTGCGGTCCCACTAAGTAAGCCCTTTTGTTTTGGTTTGATTTTTAACTTCCAATGCATCTCTCTTTTTTTTTTTCAATTTAAAAGACTCATAACTCCCTTTGAAAACCAAAGGATTTCTATTTTGTCAGTCCAAAGAAATAAATTCAACTTTTGAGGGAAAAAACGAGGCCCTAAGCACAGACTTTGGCTTCAAATAAGCATAATGTGGGCGTCTGTTAGCTATGGCACCTAAGAGGTACGCATGCTCTACCGTGCTCAGCCTCAGCAGCACCCCAAAGGCAGATCGCACAGAAAGATTGTCCCTATTCATACCACGTTAGTACGAATTAACTTCAGAAGGACAACGAGCAACAAATGTCACCCTACTGTGCTTTCTGCCTGTGAAAAATAATGCTGTGTGTTTTTCTTCAAAAGTTCTGACATTTACTTTAACTGATCATTTCTCCCCACGAAAGAACGACTAGATGGCTGTGAACTATGCAATCGTATAGGTCACGCCGCTTATTCCCGTCTCAGTAAGCAGCACGGAGGGTTAACCTGCATCAAGCAGCCATTCCCGGATACTTGAGCCGAGGACATCGGCCAAGCTATCCGGGAGGCCATGCTATCAAATTGTTTAGCAAGCCTACAAAGACGTAGATGGATGAGTTACGCAGGCAAGATTTCCATGAGAGGGAACCATCCCTTGCACCCTAAATGAAATTAAAACTAATGCTGCAGTAGCCTAGTTCAACTGAAAAAGTGTCCGCGAGGTGGCTTTGTGGTTAAAGCTCCTGCCACTGAGCCTGGCAACATGATAGGTCCCTTGGGATCCACGCGGTAGAAGGAGAGAAATGGCTTCTCTGCAAGTTGTCCTCTGACCTCCACACACGCACGCACTGTGTCACATGCTCACCCATGCAGTTACATGCACATATACAGGAGCACACACATACAACGTGTGTGTGTGTGTGTGTGTGTGTGTGTGTGTGTGTGTGTGTGTGTGGTGTGTGTAGTTGGTTACCTCCTGTGACCCTGGCCCTTACCAGGACATAGAATTACTCTGGCGTTAGTCCTATGGAATGAAGCAAAGCTGGCCCTTCTCCTGGAGGGAGGCTGGGAAGTCACAGATGAAGAACGGAAGAAAGAACTGATGTGGAAGAGACAAGGTCTTTTGTTTAGCCCGTAGAAAATACAGACAATTCTATTTTTACTCAAATAGACCAAACTAATTCTTAAGTATGTTTAAAGGCATACGGATTTAGTTCAGAGGTAAAGACCTACCAAGGTCCTGGGCTCTGGGTTCACCCCAGTGTTGCAAAAAGGGGGGGGGGGGGAGTACATTTTAACTGAGTTGTTTGCTTATTTGTTTGTTTGTTTGTTTGTTTTGAGGCAGCGTCTGTTTATGTGTCCTGGCTGTCCTGGATAGATCAGGACATCTTCAAACTCACAGAGATCCCCCTGCCTCTGCCTCCATAGTGCTGAGAGAACAGGTGTGTGCTATAATATATATTTATAATATAGTTACGCTGTAATATATTTGTGCTGTAATAGATTTTCCTTAACATATTATAGGTATGTGCTTTATATCTCCCTTAAATGTTTGCAAGCCTGTTCTGAGTGTAACGTGTTTGTTTCTTAGATAACGCACCAAGCTAGAGTATCCTTAACTGAATACACTTCAGTCTCCTCCTACTCTAAAGGAGGCATGCGTGTCCCTGAGTATAGAACATTCCAGAAGTGTATCTACACGTGGCTGAGGGGTTTATCTGCAGAGGCATGAAAAGCTCTGACTCCTGTCAGAAGCTCTAGGTTCTTACACTGCTGTTATCAGTGTTGGTGTTCTTAAGGGGACTGGAGTGCAGAAAAGAAACTTTCTGAACTCACGCCCTACAGATGGACACTTTGTATCACACCTCTGGGCTTCGGTTTCTCCCACCAGGATGGAGGCAGCCTGGTCGGGGAAGTCAATGAAGATGGGGAGATGACTGGAGAGAAGATAGCCTATGTCTACCCTGATCAGAGGACTGCGCTCTACGGAAAGTTTATTGATGGAGAGATGATCGAAGGGAAACTGGCCACCCTCACGGCCACAGAAGAAGGGAGGCCACACTTTGAAGTGACATCTGGAAGTAAGTTGTGCAGTCTGGGGCAGGTTGAAGAAGTTTCTGGTGGTGGTGGTGGTGGTTTTGGTTTTTTGTTTTGATTTGGGTTTTTGAGACAGGATTCTCTGTGTAACCCAGGCTGTCCTGGAACTCACTATGGATCAGACTGGCCTCTGACTCACAGAGACCCATCTGCCTCGGCTCCCGAATGCTGGGATTAAAGGTGTGCACCACCATTGCCCTACAAAGAAGTTTCTTTTCTTTTCTGGGGGGCCCACTTTAATGAGTGTTAGTCAGTTTTTCACACACACACACACACACACACACACGCAGGCTCCTCAGTCCGTCCCTGTTTATGACAGTAGCCACATGTCTGCTACGCCACGAGGTTCGGCTGGTCTAGGCTGGTCTGTTTCTTACGCTGGGGCCTAGTCTGAAGGCATCAAGACCACTTCAGGCAATGTTTTCTCACAGTGGATCACAGATGTATCCAAGTTAACACAGAGGTGCCTCCCAAAGCCTCAGCCTGGAACTCCCCCACTTACGTGGCATGTCCTGCCCCGCTCTGCACCTCACCTGACCTGACGTGCTGGTTTGCCTTTCAGGTTCCGTGTACCACTTCGATAAATCGACTTCCTCCTGCATCTCCAGTGATGCCCTCCTTCCAGACCCCTATGAGTCCGAGAGGTAACTCTTTCCTTGTGGCTTTCCTCGTGCCGTTTAGGCCCTGGGGGTGGGCACCCTTAAGCTTCTGTGGCTCTCGGCTCAGGCTGGGCTCCTGCTCGAGCCAAGCCTCTCCATAATAAGTACTTCTCCTTGGCACACTTCCAAGTAAGTGTGTGTGTGTTCTGAGGAAGACTGATTATATTCTTATATAGAGGCTGTTCACAGAAGGTCTCTACACTATCAAGCAGGCTCATGTCTCGTTCTAGAATGAACTCTGTCAGTAAAGTGTTGAGTCAGACAGTCACACCCTTTCTGGGGACGCTGGGGGATTTGGAAAGCAAACAGGTAGAAACCAGAGAACAGCGTTAGAAATCGGTTCTTTTCCTTCCACCCTCTGGAAAGGTGCAGCCTTAGGTCAGGCTTGGAAGCAGGCTTTTTTTTGCCCAGTGAGCCATCTTCCAGGCCCTCTTGGGGTTCTTGATGATGCAGTCCTCTAGGGGAGCAATCCACGCTCTTTCAAGCCTAGCCTACACCTCTGGTACGACCCTTGGAACATAAAGCAACTTCCTTATTCCTAAGGGAAGACAGGATAGAAGCAAAGGAAGTGCTAGCAAGTGCTAAAGCCTCTCTCCCTGTCAGCTCTGTCCATAGAAGCAAAGGAAGTGCTAGCAAGTGCTAAAGCATCTCTCCCTGTCAGCTCTGTCCATAGAAGCAAAGGTAGTGATAGCAAGTGCTAAAGCATCTCTCCCTGTCAGCTCTGTCCATAGAAGCAAAGGAAGTGCTAGCAAGTGCTAAAGCATCTCTCCCTGTCAGCTCTGTCCATAGAAGCAAAGGTAGTGATAGCAAGTGCTAAAGCATCTCTCCCTGTCAGCTCTGTCCATAGAAGCAAAGGTAGTGATAGCAAGTGCTAAAGCATCTCTCCCTGTCAGCTCTGTCCACACCTAACCTATGAGGAAGGCTGCCCTCTACCATCGATTCTCAATACCCAAAATTATCTTCATTCTCCTTCAGCTAAGGAAGTAAAGACAGCCCCCGAGGCGTGGCTTACCCTCAGCTGCTCTGCTGAGTAAGGACAGCCCCTGAGGGTGTGATTTACCTCTTGTTTACTTTCTGCCTCTTCCTGGTATAAGGGACAGCACTGATCCCACAGTGCCACAGGCAGGGAGAAAATGTTCTGTTTTTTTTTTTGACAAGAGATCCTGGCCCAGGGCCAGTGGTAGTAGACTGGCTTCTGTGTTCACCCCAAAACACCAGGACCAACTGTATCCATCTATCAGTCTAGTCTGTTGTGAGATCCTGCAGAACAACACTCTTAAACGGCTTAGCTGTTTACAGAGGTCGGCGTTTTGTATTATACTCCTGGTTCTGTGGGTTGGCTTAGGTTCAACCATTTTTTGCTTGGGCTTCACCAGGCTGAGCCGGACTAGGCTGGGCTCCAGGATTCAAGTCGGGTTCAGGTCTGTTTCACATCTCTTCATTCCAAGACTCTGACTAAAGGAACAACAGCCCCCCAGGACATATTCTTCTCTGGGAGACCATGGAAACTGAAAGAGACTGGCAAAACTCACCGTGTCTCTTAACACCTGACACCTGGCAGCAGGGGCCTCCTCCACGCTCTGCTAACAAAGTCAGCAGGAAGGGATGCATGCCCCACCTGCACCAAACGAAGTGTCACATCGTGAGGTCACCTGCAAAAGGGTGACATGTATCACTCTGTCACAGGAAGGGAGCACAACTGGAAGCAATAATTCATATTTCCAGGCCTTAAAATAAGCCAAAGTTACAGGCGCCCACCTCCTAACAGGACCATCTATCACGGTGCATGGAGAAATGAAAGATTTGTTGGTGGGACATAAGCTCTTATTCCCTCCATTCCACAGCCAAGAGTGCTTCTCTTAAAAAGCCGTGTTAGGAGCGGTTTTCCGTGGAAGAACATCAAGTAACAATATGGACGCTTGCAGGCCCCATGTTGTCTGTTGCACAGACTCAGCTCCGCCTCTGAGCACTACAGCAGCCAGATACCATCTTAAACTGGGGAAGGCAGCTGTATCTCAATAAAACTTTATCAACAAAAATGAACTGTCAGATTTGACCTGGAGTTAGCTGACCTCTAACCCCTTTGCTGGGAAATGCTTGTTGGCTACAGCTCATTGTCGCTTTTTGTGTAAACAATCCATCTTGGCATTTAACTAAATAATAGTCTTCCTCTGTCTTCTGGCTTTGAGAAATTTGAGCACAGTATCAGTAAACTTTGGGAAATGTTCTCTTGTCATTAGCTATAAACATTAGTTTCTTTATCAGAAAGGTCTATCTGGCTGGTTTGTGTGTCAACTTGACACAAAGCTAGAGTCATCAGAAAGGAAGGAACCACCACTGAGACCATGCCCCATGAGATCCAGCTATAAGATCCCTGGAACTGACGTTACAAATGGTTGTGAGATGCCATGTGGGTGCTGGGAATCAAACCCAAATCCTGTGGAAGAGCCCCCATCTTCCCAGGCCTGGAGAAGACATTGTTTGAGGCCTGGGGTGTAGCTCACTCAGTTGGTAGAATGTATGCCTAGCGTTCACAAAACCCTGGGTTTGATCTCCAACACCACATAAACATGGGCACTTAGCAGATGGAAGCAGGAGGATTAGAAGTCCCTAGTTATCACTAAGTGGTTGTCACCAGGGCCGGTGGCTCACACCTTTAATCCCAACACTCGGGAGACAGAGGCAGGAGGCAGATGCTGTGAGTTTGAGGTTAGCCTGGTCTATATAGAGAGTTCCAGAACAGCCAGAGCTACACAGAGAAACCCTGTTTTGGGAAGGAAAAAAGATAAAGAAGTTCCTGCTTGTCATTGGCCAGAGCAAGTCTGAAGGAGGTGGGTGGAGTTCATTTTGAATACAGCTCTTAAAGAGATGAAAGTTATTTCTTCCATTACTGCTGCTAACTTAGTGTGGTTTAATTTCTCGCCCTGTCTCCTTCTTTGTTGAATAATTGGAAACTGTCATTTGGGATTCATATGGTACTCATATTCATATGGATAACCATAATGGGGTTTCAGTGATTGGTATCAAGAGTGGCACATCACACTGAAAACCTCACAATTTTATTTGTTGTTTGTTTGTTTAGGGTTTATGTTGCGGACTCTCTCATCTCCAGTGCGGGAGAAGGGCTGTTTTCCAAGGTAGCAGTGGGACCCAATACTGTTATGTCTTTTTATAATGGCGTCCGAATTACACACCAAGAGGTAAGTGGGAAGATGAGAACGTCAACCTAATGGATGAAAGGGCTTCAATAAATCCACTATCGTGGTCCACAACTATCTCATAGAAAGCGGAATGATGGGGCCAGAGAGATGGCTTGGAGGTTAAGAACACTGAGGTCCCTGAGTTCAATCACCAGCACCACACAGTGACTCACAACTATCTATACTGACATCTGGTGCCCTCTTCTGGTGTGCAGACTGAACACTGTATACATAATAAATAAGTAAATAAATAAATCTTTTTTTTTAAAAAAAAAAAAAGGAAAGAAAGGAAGAAAGAGAAAGAAGGGAGGAGGGAAGGAGGGGGGAAGGAAGGAGAGAAGGAAGGAAGGAAGGAAGGAAAGCCAGGTGATGCTACAGCTGTAGATTTCCTCTAGACCACACCCAACATCATTTTTAGGAAAGTTCCCTACTTTTTGTTAACGCAAAGACAGTCTCTGTTTTGCTAGAAAGTGTTTTAGTGAAAAAAAAGAAAACAATCCAAACTCAAAAGCTAAAAGTTTAACAAGGCAGAAAACGGCGGTGGATGCCTGTAGTCTTAGCACTGGGGATAACAAAGCTGGAGGAGCGGTGAGTCAAGTGTCCTTGACCATTGCAAAGCAGTGTGACCACTTCACAGCAGTGTGACCATTGTACAGCAGTGTGACCATTGCACAGCAGTGTGACCACTGCACAGCAGTGTGACCACTGCACAGCAGTGTGACCATTGCACAGCAGTGTCCCCATTGCCCAGCAGTGTGACCATTGCACAGCAGTGTGATCATTGCACAGCAGTGTCCCCATTGCACAGCAGTGTGACCATTGCACAGCAGTGTGACCACTGCACAGCAGTGTCCCCATTGCACAGCAGTGTGACCATTGCACAGCAGTGTCCCCATTGCACAGCAGTGTGATCATTGCACAGCAGTGTGACCATTGCACAGCAGTGTGACCATTGCACAGCAGTGTCCCCATTGCACAGCAGTGTGATCATTGCACAGCAGTGTGACCATTGCACAGCAGTGTGACCATTGCACAGCAGTGTCCCCTTTGCACAGCAGTGTGACCATTGCACAGCAGTGTGACCATTGCACAGCAGTGTCCCCATTGCACAGCAGTGTGATCATTGCACAGCAGTGTGACCATTGCACAGCAGTGTCCCCTTTGCACAGCAGTGTGACCATTGCACAGCAGTGTGACCACTGCACAGCAGTGTGACCACTGCACAGCAGTGTGATCATTGCACAGCAGTGTGACCACTGCACAGCAGTGTGACCATTGCACTGCAGTGTGATCATTGGTGTCTCAACACCTGAAAATGAGTTCTTTTCAATCCTCCCATCATCTCTTCTCAGAATCATGAGGGTGTGCCAGGTAAAGTATCCACCCATAACCCCAGCATTTATGAGGCTGAGGCAGGAGAACTATGAATCCCAGGCAAGCCTGGGGTGTATAGATGAAGGGCCTATGAGAGAGAGAGAGAGAGAGTGAGAGAGAGAGAGAGAGAGAGAGAGAGAGAGACCTGAGGACATACTACAGGTATTAAAGTAAGAGAGGAAAAGTTTCCAGGAGAGGCAAGAGTACACAGAGAAACTCTGTCTCAAAACAAAAAACAAACAAACAAAAAAAGCAATCTGTACTTTTTGCTGGGTATGGTGGCTCACACCTTTAATCCCAGCATTCAGGAGGCACAGACACACAAATACACAAATCTTTGTGAGTTCAAGACCATCTTGGTCTACATAGAAAATTCTAGTACAGTAGGGCTTTACAGAGAGACCCTGTCTTGAAAAAAATAAAAACAAACAAAAAAATGAAAGGAAAAAAAAAAAGAAGGGAGGGAGGAAGGGAGGTAAGGAGGGAGGGAGAACACAGAGAATCCCTGGGGTGGGACACTGACGTCCTCTGGCCTCCCCACACGTATTTATGACACACACACCACCTCTTGCCTTGAAGACCCAGTCTGGTGTATTTTAGAACTCCGTAGCTGGCCCTGCTTAAGTTTGTTCGCCTGTAGCTGACTCTTCGGGGTCTGTGTAGTCTGCAGCCTCCAGCACAATCCTTGAGCCCCGTCACGGTCGCTAATGCGTGCACGGGGCTCAGGCTCGTGACTGTCATCTCACATTCTGGTCTCTACTTTGTCACTTATTCCTGGGGATAACAAGGGAGCGTTCCACAAAATGTTCCAGTTAGTCACACATTCAACGCAACTGGGCAGGCAAAAGACAACAAAATAGACTCAGGTGGAGCAGATGGCATCCACACAGGTGGCCGTGCTTCCTCAGCCCTCCAGAAGGCCCGAGACAGTCATCGGGGAAGGGTGACTTTGGGGTAAGGGTGTATTACAGGTGGAGCACCCCTTATCTGAAGTGCTTGGGACCAGAATGTTAGGAATCCGGGGTTTTAAAATATTTGCATCTTTATAATTATCTTAGGGATGGGACTCTGGTCAAAATATGAGATTTAGTGTTTCCTGTGTACAGAGTCAGGAGGCAGTTATATATTTTTTATTGTGTCTGCATTTTGCCTGTGACCTGTCATGAGGTCAGGTGTGTGGCTTCTTCCAATTGTCTATCAGCCTCAAAAAGTTTTGAATTTGGAAGCATTCTGGACTTTTAAATATTAAACCCATTCTTCGTCCCTCAAACATCTTGTAGATGAGGAAGTGGAAACCTAGAGAGAGGAAACTGTCTGCCCAAGGTCACAGATGCAGTGAGGTGCAGAGTTCAAGCAAGGCTAGCATCTCCGCCGTGAAGACTCATGCCCCCTCGCACCCAGTGCCACCTCACAGCAACTTAAAGCCACCAACACCCCACACAGCCGATCAGTGCTATGTGGTTACATGACAGGTGGGGAATGATGAAATCCAAGGGGACCTTCCTTGTGATCGATAGATACTGCTGCCTGTGGCAGATATACCTGGTTTGTTGACTGGATGTCACATATAAATGTAATGTATAGGAGGAAGGGTTGGTTTATCTAGGAGAGGTGTCCGTCCTGTGATCCACAGACTACATGGGGCCAAGGATAACTTGTAAAAAAAAAAATGAAGACAAGACTGTTGAATTTACTTAAAGTCGTAAGTTTACTTAAAACTTGAGAGACTGAAACTCGATTGTTTGGCTCACAAACACGAACTGTGCATGGCGTTTGTGTCGCAGTGACATTTGTGTTGGACATGCCCGGTCGATTCACAAGTTCTACGAAAACATGATCCTTTCTATAAGGGCCATTAGGCTATTCTGCTCGCCTCCCAATGTCCAACCTGAAGGAGCCAAGTGGTTGTGCTATAGACGATGATGAGTGATGAGTCCTGGACAGGTAGGAGAGCACACTGGCTTCAAAATTGTCTCCTGCTTACCCTGATTCCTCCACTGGAGCAGAGGTGTGGGCCTTTTTATAGATATTTTTAAAATACATTAATGACTGGGCAGTGGTAGCACATGCCTTTAGTCCCAGCACTTGGGAGGCTGAGACAGGTGAATCTCTAAGTTTAAGGCTAGCCTGATCTACAGAATGATTTCCAGGACAGCCAGGGAAACCTTGTCTCAGGGAATAAAGAAAAGAAAAAAAAAGCTTATTTATTTGGAGGATCATGTGCTATCGTTCAAGTGAACAACTTCCAGGAGAAAGTTCTCACCTCTGGCCATGTGGGTTCTGTGAACAGAACACTTGGGCCGTCAGTCTCGGAAGTCAGTGTCTGGACCCACTGAGCCATCTCAACAGCCTCTTCTTCGTCTATTTTGAGTTCAAGTTTATCTACTATTTTTGCGTGTCTTTGGAAAGAGTCAAAAGCCTTTTCTTCTATATAAAACGAGGGAAACACAATAAACAGTAAGCTGAGCTGTCTGGTCGCTCCATCCTTGTGTGGGAAGATGTCCTGGCCAGCTCTCGTGTCTGCAGTACTCAAACCATGAAGCGTTAGCATAAATGAGTTAGCGCCTCTGCAATGCTCTGAGCTCTTGTGCGAAAGGCCCTCTCCAGCACCGCTTCCCTGTGTCTTGCAGGTGGACAGCAGGGACTGGGCCCTAAATGGGAACACTCTGTCCCTTGATGAGGACACAGTCATTGACGTGCCCGAGCCCTACAACCACGTATCCAAGTACTGTGCCTCCCTGGGACACAAGGCGAATCACTCCTTCACGCCAAACTGCATCTATGACATGTAAGTGGGGTGCTGGTGGCTGGATGGACCCATGCCTGGGGACCCAGGACCACGGAGGGCATGGGAAAGGTGGGCCCTTTGCCATGAGCCTCAGCCTGTGCTTTAAGGCTCAGGATCTAAACAGCCCTGCTTTCTGGCCATGAGATGAAAAAGTGATTTCAAAAGAAGGACTCTCGTAGAGATATGGTGGCTGCTTTATTGTGTCCTTATTTGCACTTAGATTTTTTTTTTCCTCATTTAAAGATTGAATTACAGGACCAGGGAGACCAGGAGCAGTCAAGTCATGCAAGGGCTTCATGAAGACTTGAGTTCGGTCCCCACTCAACACCTATACAAAAAGCTAAGGGTGGGGGAGGGCACTCATAATCCAAGCACTGAGGAGGCAGAAGCAGGGTGATTCCCTGGGCTCACTGACCAGGACTAATCAGGACGTCCAAGGCCAGTAACCCAGTACTTAAAACAAGGTGGATGGTGCTTGTGGAACACACACAAAATTGTATTTTGGCTTACACATACACACACAATTGTATTTTGGCTTACACACACACACAATTGTATTTTGGCTTACACACACACACAATTGTATTTTGGCTTACACATACACACGCACACACACACACAATTGTATTTTGGCTCACGCACACACACACACAATTGTATTTTGGCTCACGCACACACACACACAATTGTATTTTGGCTCACGCACACACAATTGTATTTTGTCTTACACACACACAATTGTATTTTGGCTTACACACAATTGTATTTTGGCTTACACACGCACACACAATTGTATTTTGGCTTACACATACACACGCACGCACACACACAATTGTATTTTGGCTCACACACACAATTGTATTTTGGCTTACACACACATGCACACACACACAATTGTATTTTGGCTCACACACACACAATTGTATTTTGGCTTACACACACATGCACACACACAATTGTATTTTGGCTCACACACACAATTGTATTTTGGCTTACACACGCACACAGTGTGTGCACACAGGTACAGACTTAACCCGCATACACATGTGCACACAGATAATGGGAACGGCAGTGTAGCTCAGCCATAGAGCGGACCCTTCCCTGCTTGGCGCTGTAGCTGCCGCCCTCTGCCCTCTGCTGTGCGAGACCACGCTCCAAACATTTTATCTTGCCAGAATCTGGAGCTTGCTGCTCCTGAGACTCGTCCTTGAGATGCCATGGAAAGCATCCCAGCAGTGACTAGCCGGATGACTTGGAGTATTGGTGCCCCAGCTGCTTCTAAATGGCTGGCTGAAATGGCAAAGGACGTGTGTCATGTGGAATGAAACGGATGCTGTTATTAGCTGCGGGGCCTCCACGGCTAGTGTGAATTTGGCTAAAGCTCATTCCCAGCTGTGCCAGCCTAACAATGGCTGCTTAAAACCACAGCAACTAACCGTCCTAAATGCCACTCAGACCCCTCATTTGAATCAAGCCTGTCTGTGACTTCAGTACAGGGACAGCTTTTTTTCCCAAGCGCAATAGAGAACTGGAAACAAGAGAAGTTTCTGTTTGTGCAGAATCAGTCTCTGCTCAGCAGGTTTTATTTTTGGTTTTTCAGTTGTCTTTGTTGGTGGTGGTGCTAGTAGGTTTTTTGTTTGTTTGCTTTCTTGCTTGCTTGGGGTGGGGAGAGTCAAAACAGGGTTTCTCTGTGTAGCCCTGGCTGTCCTGGAACTCACTTTGTAGATCAGGCTGGCCTCGAACTCATAGATTCTGCCTCCTGGGTGCTGGAATTAAAGGCACGTGCCTCCACTGCCTGGCTATTTTCCTTATTGTGTTGTTGCTATTTGTTTTGCAAGCCCAGCATGGCCAAAACTCAGTTATATGGGGTAATGTAAACTTCAGATTCCAATTCCTGGCGTTTGTGTGTTTCCTCGAGTCACTGGCATTAATGCATACATTAATATAAGTGAAACAGCACTCTCTATGCTCCTTTCACTGACGTCTGGCACACAGTGCCCAGTGGGTAATCACACAAGTACTCCGCTACCTGTAAATTCGGGAATGTGTCAACTAAGGTCCAGAACTATTGGGCCCAGAGGTTTGGATTCAGTGCTACTTCTATAGACATAGCCTCTGAACATTCATTCTGGGTCCCTCTCTCTCTTTCTCCCCTCGTTCCTTCCTTCTTTTCTTCCTTCTTCATGTTAGAGATTGAACCTAGGAGCTCACAAATACCAAGCTCACACTCTGCTTGTATACCAGTAGCCCTACTCTGGAATCTTTGCATGTTTTACCTCACTCGTTCCTCCCAGGAACTCCCAGTCAGTTAGGTCTCAGATCTGGAGGCAGAGTGACCCAGTGCAGTGTGTACCCAGTGCCCTGGCCAAGCCTTAAGGAAGACCAAGTCTTCCTTTATAGTCTATCTATTCAGACTCATGATACTCTGGGTGTGGTAATGCCCACCTATGACCCCAGCTCCTCGAAGTCTGAGACAGGAGGGTGACTGAGTTTCTTAATCCCAGCACTGGAAGACAGCGGCAGGTGAACCTCGAGTTCGAGGCCAGCCTGGTCTACAAAGTCAGTTCAAGGACAGCCAGGACTACACAAAGAAACACTGTCTAGGAAAAAATAAATAATTAATTAATTAAATTAAAAATAACAACAAAAAAACACATCAAAATAAAAAGATGGCAATGACAATAAAGAGGAGAATAAAACCACAAGAACATTGGAAAAGAAGCCTTGGGCCCAAAAATTCAATATCAGATTCCCCTCCCCCACCCCCAGTGGATCTTCTAGGAAGTTAATCAAAACTCCATGTCAGGAACATTATTTAATTTTTATACCAAAATCATATGATAAAAATTATAATGAAGCGTGCCAACTTAAAGACAAAATTGCCTGGCATAGCTCGGGTCTTAATCTTAGCACTCAGGAGGCAGAGGCAGGTGGAGCTTTCTGAGTTCAAAGCCAGCCTGGTCTACCTAGGCAAGCCAGTGCTACACAGTAATACAATTTTGTCTTAGTTACCATGACAATGGCAACTCTTACAGTGGGAAACCCTTAACTGGGGCTGGTTTATTGTCCAGAGGGTGAGTCCATGGTCATCGGGCAGGAAGCATGGCAACATGCAAGCAGACACGGTGCTGGAGAGGTAGCTGGGAGTTCTACATCCAGATCCACAGGCAGCAGGAAGAGTGACACCTGGCCTGGTTTGGGCTTCTGAAACTCCGAAGCCCCCAGCGATGCACTTTCTCCAACAAGGCCACACCTCCCAATAATGCCACTCCCTGTGAGCCTATGGGGGCCATTTTCATTCAAATTACCATACCTGTTTATAGATAGACAGCAGACAGACAGACAGACAGACAGATAGATAGATATAAACATATATACATACATGTATACATACATACATACATGCATACCGAATTGTGATCTTAAGCCAGGGCTTTGTATGTTCCAAGCAAGTACTCTACCACTAGCTATATCCTCAGCCAAAAGTCACAATAATAAAAAAAATTCCTGAATCTGTGGTCTAGACATCTTTGTGAAGGAGCTCAATCTGAACATTTGTACACACATGCTCACATATACACATATATACACACATGTACTCATATGAATGTCCACACACAGCTTATATGGGCTCATCCACGTAATCCACGTACATACATGCTCACACTCCTGTACACATATTCACACGTGGACACGTTCACATGCCTAGTAACTAATAGTAGAGTCTCATTTTGTACCAGGTGCTGTGTGTGGGGCTTGCTACATGTGACCCCATTTTCTCACCACAGAGATCATCTAGGGTAAGTCTCACTAGTATTGTCGTGGTTTTACAGATCAGGAAGTGACATTCAGGGAAACAGGAACATAATGGAACACAGTGATACACACGGAACCAGAACTTAGAGCCAGTCTCCTGATCGCAAGTTAGAGGTCCCTTTCATGAAGATAGAGAGAGGCCTCTTTGGTGTCAAATAGGAGTTGTTGCTTTTTATACCTCATGAAAGTTATTCCGAACCATATACACAAGGCTGGGAATGTAAGCCCAGGGAGAGCGCTTGGCCCTTGGTTTATCCCAGTGTTCTAGAAACACCTTCTTCCCATTTGATGTGTCCTCTGTCTTCTGTTCGTCAAGGGACTTGAAATGTCTCGACGGGTAAAGGCATGTGTCACCAAGCCTGGAGACCTGAGTTGCATCCCCGGGGTCCATATGGTGGAAAGGACCAACTTCTACAAGTTGTCCTCTGACTACCCCGACATGTGCTGTGATGGCATGTCGTACACACACACACACACACACACACACGCGTGTGTGTGCACAGACACATGAATACAATAAAAATTAAAAAAACCACAACAAGGTCAGTGCACTGTCTGAGGTGTTCGGATTTGGGGTTTTCTTTTTAAGACAGGATGTGGTATATCTCAGGTTGGACTTAAAACTCGTTATAAAGCCAAGGATACCCTTGCATTTCTGATTGTCCCGCCCCGTCTCCTAATGCTAGAACTTCAGGCATGCGCCACCACGCCTGGTTTATAAAATAATGAGGAGAGAGCCCAGGACGCCACGCATACTAGGTCAACACTCTGCCAGCTGAACTCTCTCCCCAGCCTGCCTTGAGTGTTCTAACCCAGCAGATCTGGAACTGAGATACTCCTTGTCTCACAAGTTCCTATTGAAGCTGCAGCTGCTAGAGCTGTGCCCACACTCTGAGAACCCAGGAGTGATGCCCAGCCCGTGTACCTGGACAAAATGCTCCCCTTTGCCTCTGAGGTCCTGCACTTTGGCTTAGGAATGACCTTTCCCATCTTGATGTTTAGGTTTGTCCACCCCCGCTTTGGGCCTATCAAGTGCATCCGCACCCTGCGAGCTGTGGAGGCAGAGGAAGAGCTGACCGTTGCCTATGGCTATGACCACAGCCCTCCAGGGAAGAGTGGGCCTGAAGCCCCCGAGTGGTACCAGGTGGAGCTGAAGGCCTTCCAGGCCACCCAGCAAAAGTGAAAGGCCTGGCCCTGGGGTCCAGAGACCTGGAGTAGAAACTTGGATCTATGCACTACATATATCTGACAACGGGACAACCAGGGACTGTTCATGCTGTGACATCACATCCTCTCACCCTGCGTTAGCAACGACTCTCTCGCATACTAACTAGGTTTGACTATTACTCATACCAGATTTAAAATTAGCTAGCCTTGCAGCAACGCCCTACCGAGAGGTACTGTCGAACTGTAGACAGCATGATGTTCTTTGATGGTTGAAGTCTAAATCTGGACCACGTTCAGAGATACCAAATGATTCAACTGAAAAAGGGAAATGGGATTCTTTGGTCATTTTTCGTCGATGGGTTTTTTTTTTTTTCCGTGATGTTTTTTTCTATGGCCATTGCAAACGGTGTTCGGTCACCCTTGCATGTTGCCATCTGCGGGGCAGGAAGCGATTACATCTTTATATAAATGTAGGGTCATTTGCCTTTTAACCTTTGATCTGTATCTTGCAATAGAATGGCTTTGTTTTTGTTGTTACTCTCCTAGTGAACTGAAGCCCAGTCTTTTGAGCCTTTTCGTTAGCCTCACTCCCTATCTTAGCTCTCCTTTCCGGGAGAAAGCTTCCCAGTGGCCTCTGCCTTCACAGCAGTGTACAGGTCTCTCTGGTTCTTTCTCGAGCATCTCATTCTTATGTCCTGATATAAAGTCCTGGCTCATGGGGCCAGACTGTTATTATAGACTTATTACTCTCGCATGTAAACAAAGAAACCTTTGCTTTCGGATGTGAGAAGAAACGAATTTGCTTTGTTTGCATTAAGTTACGAAAGGAGTTGTAAGATACACATTCAGGAAGAAGAGAGGAAAACTGGTGTTTCTAAGCAGTCATCGTGATAGTTTTGCAGGATATTCAGTAGCGCTGGCAATTTTTTTCTCCTCGGGTACATATTCATTGTACATAACCTAGTGCAGTCTGACTTGTGGCTCACTGAATTCAAACTACAACAGCCAACGTGCATTCCAACACGGACTACAGAACGCTCCCTGACCACCAGTGCCAGGAAGACAGACACGCTGACGGCTAGGTGAAAATCAGACCCGTAGCTAAAGCTTTCTCCCCATCGTGATCTCAGAGTACTTAACTGCTTCCAGGCTCTGCAAGCCAAGAGTTCACGCCTGTGCAGTCTCTACCAATAGTATATTGCCACCTCACAAGCCATATGTAATCACAACTGCAGAAACACAGAGAAAAACCCATTGTTTTAGGTTAGCTCATTAGATCTCTACCTGGATGGCTCTGAATGAATGCTGAGTTTGGGGGACACCTCCCCCAAGGTGTCCTGGGAACAACCGGTACTAAGGCCTGCAACTGTCGACAGTGCCACCTGTGGCCTGAGTTGGGTTAGGGTTTGAGGGAGCTCAGAATGGATAGAGATGTTTGCTGGGAATGGGCAGGGATGGAGGGAGGAGACAGGTCAAGGGATGTTGGCTCTTTGTTCTTTTTTCTTTTCTTTTTTGTCAGTTGCACGTTGCTCTTAACAACAGCTTTCACAAGTGTTCCATCTGGGGCTGCGCGCAGTTTGCCCATCAAACAGCCCCAGAAAGGAGGACTCAGCCCTCAGCTGTGATAGCTGCACCCTGGGCTCTTTTACAAGCTTCCTGACATACCCAGCTTCCGGCTCTGCACCTAGGTGATGGGGTTTTCCAGGACAGCTGGCCGCAGCCCTGTTTGAAAAGCTTAAGAAGATAGTTCCCTCAGGAGAAACATCCTTGGGACTTCTGAGGAGGTCTCCTGCAAGAAAACCGAATCGTTTTTTAGACTACAAGTCACCGGGATAGGATCGCTTCTATTCTGTAGACAGAGACCATTCAGTAAACTGTGACCTAAGGATGGGGTCTCTGGATTTGGATTCTGAGAGGCGCTTTCGTGTAAATGTGCCCAAAGGCAGTGGGCTGCCTCGGAGAGAAAGATGGCTTTCGTCAGCCGCATCAGTTGGGTGGTGGGACTCGGTTGAAAGATGGGGCAGAGGAGGAGAGGGCAGGTCCCACCTCGGATGGTGTGCCCACAGGTTTTCACACCCAGAGGTGGAATCCAGCCTCAGCTGCCGCGGAGGCTCAACTCCTATCCTAAAGGGCTACTCTAAGCGATCTCATTCAAGTGGAACTCGAGAACAATTTTGCGGCCTTGAGGACCAGCAAAATAGTTTGGCAAGTAAAGGTGCTTGTCGCCAAGCCTATGACCTGAGTTTCATCCCTAGGACCTCCATAGCAGGAGAGAACCAGGCCTTGAAAGCTGTCCTCGACCGCACACGGTGTGGCGTGCGTGCACCCACACACCAAAAATAAATCATCCTTTTTTTTTTTTTAATATATAAATGGATTGAAGAACTGTGGCCGGTGAGCTAGCTAATCTACGTTTCACATTCCATGCTGGAGGAAGACAGTCAGGGCTTCAAGCCCAGCGCTGTGTACGTGCCCCAGAAGCAGTTCCCGCAGCTGAGCCGCTCCGTCTTCCTTTTCCCCGTCTGCTTCCCGTATCTTTCAGTTCTCTTTCTGCTATGTGAGAAGCGTTGGTGCCTGTGCAGAACGGCAGCCCAGCTGATTGCTCTCCCTCTTTCTGTCTAGCGTACCTCTCTGGTCTGGCGTCACTGTCTGTGTGTCTCTCTCCGAGTGGGAACCATTCTGGTCACTTGTTCGCGCCCTCCCCGAGATAACGCAGTTCCGTTGCAGGTCGCACCGGGCCGGGTGTAGAGGCAGAGAAGTATTTGTAGAGGGTAGGGGATGTGGAGAGAATTGACCGCCAGTGCAGTTTGAGGTTTGTTTCTCTTTTGAAACCAAAGTGGAAAAGCTTCAGAAAGCATCTTCTACTTCGCGTCTGCTGTAGAAGGAAACAGGAAGCAGGCAAATCTGGTCTTCCATCAGGATCAAAATCACAGAGAGACAGGATTGAGAGAGGCTATGTAGTAGGGGGAAAAGGATTACCCTTCTGCTGTCTTCCAAACAGCCGGGTCCTGTACAACTCGCCTGACGCCATGGTTGCCAGGGCATTCATTCAGAGCTGTCTCGGTCCAACCCCGCATGACCTGATCCATCGTTAGCACCTTTTCTATGATGAACTATTATTACCTGTGTTAGATTTACGACTAGGAACTAATCTACAGAGCATGCCCCCTAGTGGGGGCATTCGTTTGAACTAATAAGCAAATGTAAGGATTGAATTTAGGACATGAGGCTAAAATTGCGAAGTGCAGGGAAGACTTGAGTTTTTAGTACCTATTCTTGCTTTAACCTGCTTAATCCCAGATCTCCCCTAGCAACTAAGAAGGAAATTTTTTGTCAAGACCTCTTTGAACCTGACTGGGACTAGAGTTCAGATTCATTACCCTTTGGGTTCAGCACACTTGAAAAACTATTTCCTTATCACCAACCCCCCCACACACACACACATGCACGCTCATACGCGCACACACACACGTGTGTGTGTGTGTGTGTGTGTGTGTGTGCCCACTGACGAGGCCATGTAACCATTTACAGCATTTAACTGTGACCATTAGAATTGCATTGAGCTGGGGATGTAGCTCAGTGGTCCAACAATTGCCTAGCAACCAGAGGCCCTGGATTACATCCCTAGGACCTGGGGGGGGGGGGTCATGACCAATTATGAACACTGAATTAAAAGTTTGTCTTGTGAGACAGTATGTGGCACTATTATTAATCTTCACTTAATAGATTTTTTTTTAAAAAAAAATCTAAATTTCTCACTGCAAAATACACTTAAAATCTTCTGAGAAGGTCAAAAGCTCTGGGTTTTGTTTGTTCTCCAACAGCCACCTCAAGTTCTGTCTTCGGAGTAGCATTTAGAATCCAGACATCTTTTGTTTTAGACAAACAAGCAAAACTATGTTGCAAGATGGATAGTTGTAATGTTTATTTGCTGCAGATCAAAGGTTCACAAAATATATTCAGTGTAAGGGTACTTGAGTACCTTGATAGAGTCCTCCAATATACACCTTGGATTTTTTTTCCCTTCAGAAATTTTAAGCCTTGGTGTTAGGGGTCTTTTTGCTTTGCTTAGTTTTGGTTTTGTTTTTGGAGGGGTTTTGTTTTGTTTTGGGGGAGGTGTTGGGATTTTTGTTTTGTTTTGTTTTTTGGGTGTTTTGGGGGGTTTGTTTTCAAAAACTACTAAATTTTAAAAGTTTTATTTGCCAAATGTGTGCATACATATTCAAAGCAATGAATCTATTTCAAGCCATACAGCCGCAGGGGTGGGAAACCCTTTTCACAAATTTCAATGTGTTTGTATGTAAATAGATGTTTGTATGAAATATTTTCATGGTAGAATGAATATATTTAAATGAAGTTGAATTATTCCAGTGCTATTTAAAACATGACAAAATTTTTGGTGAGAATTATGAGTCTATTGAGATATAATGCAGATCAATTTTCATTTTTAGAAATCAAAAGCCTACAAAGCCCTCTGACTGGCGCCCACCTCCTGGCGGGGTGGTGTCTGATGTGAGGTAGGCTTCCCCAGTGCCTCAGCCGCTTTCTGGTGGTAAGTTCGGTGCTAATGGAGGTGTGTTTACCTTTTAGTGATTCCCCGCAGGCCTCTCGGGAGCCTGCGAGAGGATCGAGGCATTAGAGACACCGGTGCAGTTATCCGAGCACAATTTCTTTGCAGGGCAGCAGAATCAGAAACCAGACTTGGCCGCGGGTTTCCCCGGCCACCTTCTCTCGCCACCCCTAACTGCCTAGTCACAATGTCAGGGAGGCTACCCTCAGTGGAGTTGGGGTCCAGACCCCAGGGTGGGACTTCACAGATTTACCAATGCTTTTTGCCTTCTGACCTCCCTCTGTCCTGAGAGGGAGGGCAGCCGCTGGTGGGGGGGAGGGGGGCAATTCTCAGCACAGTCCATATCCTGTCTCAGCTCTGGAAGACTATGCATCCAAGCACCCAACTTCACCAGAGAGGGAGACGTCTGCGGATAATGGAAACCCTTAACTCCTATCTGTGACTTCGCACGCACGCAGTTGTTAAATGTCCTATGAAGACCATTCATGTACCTAAGACATGCCTCCCAATTCTTCTGACGCTTGAGTTACAGGAAAGGAAAACAAAACAAAATTAAAAAAAAAAAATCCTTTACAATCATATGCCACTCGAGTGCGTTCCCCGACCCATCTTTGGTCCTGGATATAATGAAACAATAACCCGACAAATTTTCACTGTGTACACTAGCAATATGAACACTGAGCCAGTACACCCTCCGCTGTCTCCTTGGTTACTATCCTTACCTTGATACTACAGGGACTATGTATGTCATGCCTGTGGTTGCATAAGAAAGCTATGAAGTTATGTCCATGATTTCTAGCTCCCTTCTTCAAATGTTTTTCCTCCTGGGTTTTCTATGTTCTCTCTACCCTCAAATGCATTTATTGGGTTGTGAGGTGTGTTTACGGAACGTAAGCCAGGGGCTATGCTTTCGGCCTTGATTGTAACCAAAAGTCAGCCACATCACAGTTTAAAAAACAAAACAAAACCATCTTTGGTCTTTTGTGGAATCTGAATTAAATCTATGAGCCTTATTCAATATCTATAATTCTATGATTTTTTTAAATTATGGGAAATTAATGGAAGATGTTTACATGAGTAATGTTTGCCCTTACTGTGTTATGAATGAATTTTTTTGTAGTGTGTCTGGGCACATGTGCAAGAAAGTAGGAAAAATGTTTCTGAAACAAAACTTGACAAATATTTGTAATGAAAAGTAAACTTAAAGATTGCTATAATTGCGCTATAGAAACAATGCAAGTATTAAACAAAATATAAAATCCTCTGTTGTATTTATTTATTTATTTATTATTTGACTATCTAGGGAAGAAAAGCAACAACAATGCCCATATGCTGTGCCTACCTGTGTATTTAAATTACACTGTAAATTGTTTAGCAATCCCAGCACAGGGATGGAGACATGACTCAGTAGTACTCACTCCATTAAGATCACACACTGGCCGGGCAGTGGTAGCCCAGGCCTTTAATCCCAGCACTCGGGAGGCAGAGGCAGGCAGATCTCTGTGAGTTCAAGGCCAGCCAGAGAAACCCTGTCTTGAAAAACCAAAAACAAACAAGCAAAACAAAACACCACACACCGCTCTGCTGGAGGACTGGGGCCGCCAGCACCCGAGTCAGGTGACTTATGCCTGCCTCTAACTCCAGCTTCAGGGATCATCGTGACAGCCTCGTCCGACCTCTGCCGGCTCACGCACGCATGCGCACATAACCTCACACGGACACGCACTTATACACATGATTCAAAGTAAAACGAATCTTTAAAATAAAGTCTTATTCTGAGGGCTGGTTTAGAAGGTTCAGCGGGTTAAGGTGCCTGCCAGCAGTGTAATGGCCTGAATTCAATCCCGGGGACCCAGATGGTGGAAAGAAAAGATCTAATTCCTGCAAGTTGTTCTCTGACCTCCACATGAATCCCACGGCACATACGCCCCCTGCTAGCAATAATAAAATTGTAGTTTAAAAAAAAAAAAAGGCAGCGATCGCTGCCCCTTTCTTCCTCTCTATAATAGCCTTAACTCTGCAGCTAACTAGGCCCCTCCCCCACTGACAGGTGCCCAGAGATCACTGTCTCCCTGTATGTGGAGGGCGCACTCTTAAGTAATTGATGGCAGAACCTAAAGCCATGTTCTCTGCAGCCTTACATAGAGCGGGCCCAGAGTCCATAGCAAGGCGGAAATATCGCTAACAAGCCAGAAAATAACCAGACGTGCTCACGTGGGTAGGCATGGGCAAAGGAGAAGTGTGGGGAAGGGGTGAGCCTCGAAAGGGGGAATTGGGGAAACCCTTCCTCCCTAAGGGTGAACACAAACCACGAGTCACCATCCCAGGCTGGGGAGAGACAGCCAGATCCCGAGCCTGAAATGAGTGTGTCTGGATCTTGCAGGAACCTCAGGAGTCAGGGCTGGCAGCAGAGTTGGATGAGCAGGGGTGGGAGTTAGGGGTTTTGTTTTTGTTTTTGTTTTTTTCGAGACAGGGTTTCTCTGTAGTTTTTGGAGCCTGTCCTGGAACTAGCTCTTGTAGACCAGGCTGGCCTCGAACTCACAGAGATCCGCCTGCTTCTGCCTCCCGAGTGCTGGGATTAAAGGCGTGAGCCACCACCACCCGGCTGGGAGTTAGGGTTTCTGTTGCTGTGAAGAGACAGCATGACCACAGCAACTCTTATAAAAGAAACTCTTTGTTTGTTTTTTGAGTTTTTTTTTTGTTGTTGTTGTTATTGTTGTTGTTGTTCGTTTGTTTGCTTTTTTGTTTTTAGAGACAGGGTTTCTCTGTAGCCTTAGAACCTGTTCTGGAACTAGCTCTTGTTGACCAGGCTGGCCTTGAACTCACAGAGATCAGCCTGGCGCTGCCTACCAGGTACTGGGATTAAAGGTGTGGCCAGAGCCACCAAGGACTGTCCATCAAAGCAGAGCTGAGCTGCGGGACCGGGGACGTAGCTCAGGAACAGGACACTCACATCCCACCCATCAACAGCTAGGACCTGGGTTTGCTCTCCAGAACCAAAAATAAATCACTGGAAAGTGAGTGAAGGGCGAACCCTATGGTTGGGTCTGAGCGACCAAAGCGTGGATGGCTTTAGTGAAAGCGTCTCGCACCTGCTGACTGCTCTTGATGGACCAGCCTTCAGCCTCAGCCCTTGAGTCCAAAACAATCCTCAAATTTCTCTGTGGTTCAGCGCCCCCTTGTGGTGAGGATTTATTCTCATACTGTTTCTGGCAAGAAGACATAAAACAATGACCTAGTTCTTCAGAAGAAACGCAAAGGCCAGGCAAGTGCCACTTGGGAAGCAGAGGCTGGAAAATCAGGAATTCAAGATCATCCTGGGCTACATTGTGAGTTCAAGGCTAGCCTTGGATACGTAAGACCTTTTCTTTTTCTTTTTTTTTTAATATTTATTTACTTATTATGTATACAATATTCAGTTTGTGTGTATGCCTGCAGGCCAGAAGAGGGCACCAGACCTCATTACAGATGGTTGTGAGCCACCATGTGGTTGCTGGAAATTGAACTCAGGACCTTTGGAAGAGCAGGCCGTGCTCTTAACCGCTGAGCCATCTCTCCAGCTCCAAGACCTTTTCTAAAAGAAGAAGAAAAAGGAGAAGGAGAGGGAGGAGGAGATGAAGGGGAAGAGGAGAAGGAGGAGGACGAGGAGAAAGAAGTCTGCCAGGTTGGGAAATAGCTGAGTGGTAGGTGCTCACTATGTGTGAGGCCCTGGGTCCCATCCCCAGCATCACACGTGCACACACACACACACACACACACACACACACACACACGATCACAAACAAAAACAACTTGAGCTAATTTTTAATCACCAGATTGAGCTTTTTTATTTTTAAAGATTTATTATGTACACAACATTCTGCCTCTGCATGTATGCCCACATGCCAGAAGAGGGCGCCAGATTTCCATTACAGATGGTTGTGAGCCACCATATGGTTGCTGGGAATTGAACTAGGACCTCTGGAAGAGCAGCCAGTGCTCTTAACCTCTGAGCCGTCTCTCCAGCCCCAGATTGAGCTTTTAATTGCTTTTTAATTGTTTTAAAATCCCAAATTTCAAGAAGGCTAATAAACAGCACATTTGGTGCCTACAGTAAACTAGATCAAACAAAGCTGGTTTCTGTTTTTTAAAAAAAAAATTTAATGTGTGGTAGCACTTTAAAATCTTTAGCTAGAATGCAGCTATCCACCAAAATACAAAATATGGGTTCATTAGTCCTAGCAGGTATACTTCCTGTACTCCCTGAGTTGTCCGTGGGCCATCCCCGCTGTGGAGGAAGAGTTCTGGTTCATGGAGGAAATTGTCCTCTCCTTCACCGTACACACCAAGCACAAGGAATTAAATCCGGTCATGGGTAGTAGGCAGCTCCCTAAATCCTTCTAGAGCAGTGGTTCTCAACCTTCCTAATGCTGCAGCCTTTAGTACAGTTCCTTATGTCGTGGTGACCCCAACCATAAGATTATGGTCGTTGCTACCTCATAACTGTAACTTTGCTACCAATGGGAATTGTAATGTAGATATTTTTGGAGATAGAGGTTTGTCTAAAGGGTCACAACACACTAGTTGAGACCCACTATTCTAGACTCCAGCAAAGAGAACACCTCTCTAAAATAGAGAAGCACCTTTACACAGATGGAAATAAGCCAGGTATGTCAGAACATACTGTTAATACCAGCGCCCAGGAGGCAGAGGCAGGAGGATCTCTATGAGTTCAAGGCTACCATAGTCTACCAAGCAAGTTCCAGGAGCAACCAGGGCTCTGCCGTGAGACCTCATCTCAAAACAAAGCAAACAACTTGAAATAAAAATTAAATCAGGGATGACCAGAAAGCTCAGCAAGTAAAGGTGCCCACTGCTACTATAGCCTGCTGACCTGGGTTTGTCCCACATGGTGGAAGAGAGAGTGGACTCCTGGAAGTTGTCCCCTGACCTCCACTGATGTGCACACACACACACACACACACACACACACACACACAAAGCCTAACCTGTGATGTTTTTCATCTGTCTGTGTGTGTGTGTGTGCGTGTGTGTGCATGCGTGCATGTGTTTGTGTGTGTGTGTGTGTGTGAGCATGAAATGTGAATGTCAGAGGAGAACTGTGGAAGTCAGCTCCCTTCATCGTATGGATCCCAGGGATTAAACCAAGGTTGCCGACACCTCAGCAGCAAGTGCTTTCACTGGCTGAGTCATCTTGCCAACCCATTAAAAATAGTTTTAAAAAAAATTATATTCCACCCAGGCAATGATGGTGCATGCCTTCAATCGCAACACTTGGGAAACAGAAGCAGGTAGATCTCTGTGAGTTTGAGGCCAGCCTGGTCTACAGAGTGAGTTCCAGGACAGCCAGGAATACACAGAGAAACCCTGTCTCAAAAAAAACAAAATAAGGGAGGCTGGAGAAATGGCTCAGAGGTTAAGAGCATTGCCTGCTCTTCCAAAGGTCCTGAGTTCAATTCCCAGCAACCACATGGTGGCTCACAACCATCTGTAATGGGGTCTGGTGTCCTCTTCTGGCCTGCAGGCACACACACAGACAGAATATTGTATACATAACAAATAAATAAATATAAAAAAAACAAAATAAGACAAAACAAAACAATATTCCAGCTGGGCAGCAGTGGCATACGCCTTTAATCCCAGCATTAAGGTGGCAGAGACAGGAGGATCTCTGTGAGTTCGAGGATGACCTGGTCTACAGAGCAAGTTCCAGGACAGGCTCCAAAGCTACAGAGAAATCCTATCTCAAAAAACAAACAAACAACAACAAAAAAACCAGTATTCCAACTTGTCATTTGAGTGGAATAC